AATGGAGTAATCCCACCAAGATAGGGGCAGAGTGGATCCAAGTAGGCCGAACCACTATATATCATATGTTGCAAGTTCTTGTTGAATATCTATGATGAAGCATGCTTTTATTTGAGCCAAATTGATCATGTATGATGAACTATGTATATTGTACTTGAATTTGTCAATTTGAGATAATAAGCCTGATGTCTTTGGATTAAATATTTACCATGCTTGAATTATGTTGTATAACATGTTTAGGCACACATTAGTTTGATGCATGTTAGAATGGAATAGAATTGAACGGAGCACTGAACAAAAAAACAAGAACCTTATAGAATCAGGCCGGTCAACTAGCCCTTAACGTGGTCGACCAGCTTCTGCAAAATAAGCTTGTTTTGCCTCCGTACTTCAAGGAACAAACCTAAGCCTTTTGGTAATCCATCCCTCATACCAATATGAACTAAGCCAAGATGCTAATGCGAGCAAAATGCTAAAAGGACCATAGTGCCCTTGGTTTAAATTAATTGAGAAAAGAAGCATATGGACTCTGAGCAAACAAAGAGAACTCTCCATGATAGAAGTAAAAGTTTTTTATAGTCTTATTCACACACACACAAACATCCCCCCCTCGGGTGGGTCCCTTAAGAACTTCACCGGGTCATCATAGCAAACCCTGTATGTGGAGCAACCCAACCAAGGAGGTTGGATGGCTGGATGTAGGCCATTGGAGCCAAACCACTATGTACTGCTTTATTACTTTTTTCTTATTGTTTTACTCTTCAAACATGATTTATATGAGCTTGATTATTCAGAAGGACGGATGTAGCTTTACACGGATAGGTCATTGCAATCGCCTCCAATCTTCTTATATGTATTGTTGTTCACCCAACTTACCGAGCGTGTGAGGTGCCCTAGGTTTTAAGGAGTGACAAGTTGTTCTAGATAACTCGATAAGGGAGCTCTCCAAAGGTTAGGTGATGTAGGACGTGAGGAGAAAGAATTCAGATAATAGAAAAGAAGAAGAGAGTTGAGGATGATGAGCAACCTGTGGAACAGCCAATGGATGAAGAGCAAGTTAAGGATGGGATAGATCATGAGGTGTAAAACCCGGGGTAAATTTGTACTTTTTATGAAAAATAGCAAAATAGTAATTTTTTATTTTCAGTACGGAATGAAAACCTGAATTTTTCAAGATCTCGGATGACGATACTATTATAAATACAAACAATTTGAAAATAGTTTTTTTTCAAATTGGATTCGTCTCGCGAAATCTAATTACCCAAACAAATTTCGCTCAATTCCAAGATAGTTGAATTTTTCGCATTTTACGAGGCAGTCGGGTCTCAAGTGACCAAAAACGAAATTTTTAATGAAATTTTAAAATTTAAAAAATAATTTAAATCAAGTTAAAATAAAAATATTTCGAACTTGAACCGGAGCGAAATTTAATCATTTTGGGACGAAAACGGACCCGAAAAAGGAGGACGTGTGGCACATTTTGGACCAAGCAATTAAAGACTATAAATAGGGGGAGAAAATCAGATTTCTCCCCTATACATCAGCTGGGTTTTAACGTTGAAGAGAAGAGAGGGAAAAGAGAGAAAATTCAACTTTTCTCTACGATCTACGCCTCCTCGTCGCTCAAATCAACTCAAACCAAGTATTAAAGTCGTTCCTCTCAGCGAGGGCTACGCGACTATACCAAAAAGCACGGGTTTTACCGAAGTCCTAGAAACGGGATTTGGAGAAAGTGAAAATTCTAGCTTGAATCGGGTTCTTGAAACTTCTCAACGTCGTTTTACACTTCAAGAGGTAAGGTTGTCTCCCTAATTAGGTTTATTTTCAATCTAAGGTGTTTATATGAGATGGGTAAGTTGATAGAATTATGTATCACTTGCCTATTTGTTGTAAAGTTGATAGAATTGGGTATTGAAAATGGATAAATTTAATTCTAGTGTGAATTGAGGATTGAAAATTGCTAAGTATGAAATTTCTTGGCAAAATGTTATATGTGGGCATGTTATGTGTTTATATTATGTCTTGATGAATTGAGTGTGTTAATTGCATGATTATGTGATAACATGCTTGAAAATTGTGTTGATGAAATGTTAATTTATGCTTATGATATATTGGCAATTGATAGACTATGAAAATTATGTGCTTAGAATGTAATTATCTATGGTATGTGTTGAAACTGTTCATATGGCATTCATTACATATTGACTATGATAATAGTCTTACAATGGTGCATTACATTGCATTTGCACAGGAACATCGCATTTGTGGACACCGACATGAGTGTGGGTGTGTGTGCATATGTTGGATCAAACACCATACTTGGTGGATGATGGATGGGCTCGAAAAAAATTGGAACAAAATTTCGACGGAGTCGCACGGTTGCATGAAAAACTTGTGTCGGGTATAGCAAGAAGGACTAGACTCTCCCTCGGGTGCAAGACCCAACTACTGGTTTATACACTTCCGACGGTGCAAGTCCAAAAAAGTGTATCAGTGTGCGGAGCCGGCGGTACAACACCAAAAATCCGCTACCCAACAAAGATAAATGATTTTTTTTGAATTATAAAATTGTCATTCTATGTGTAATATCAATGGCAAGGGCTTGGAATGCCTGATTTTCACACATTGGCATTGCATTGTGTTGTGGGAGCCGGTGAAGGCTCCGGTTAAAGTACATGAGTGAGTCTTATCTCATTTCGTGGCATGGCAAGGAATTCTTGTCATTGAATGCATATTCTTGATGGAGATGTTTTGAATAGTTGATTGTTACATGTAAATATTTTATATGCATCTAAGTTGCAGAGTAGTCTCTTTAAAAGATAATCTATTAAGCGTGGCTCACCCTTCGTGGAAAAATATTTCAGGTGCGGGGTTCACACTGGCAGACGGCTCCCAATTCGAGCCTCAAGGGTGAAGAAGGCGGACCTGTGGCCTTTATGACTCATTTGTATAATTTTTGAGAAAATTCTATTTTTGGCATGTAAATATATGAAAATTCTTGTAATAAAACTTGTCGTATCATGTTTCATGTGTAAAACTTCATTAAACATGTATTGAATGGTTGTGGAATGGATTGGAAGTAATTGAAAATCAAAAACAGGTGAAACAGGCAATTATGGGCAAAACCTACCGATAGTTGTGGTCCAGTAAGCAAAACCTACCAGTAGAACGTCACTTTTCTGCAGTAGAACTTTTTCATTAGGCAAAACCTACCGGTAGAACGTTAAAACCTACCGGTAGGTTTTCCAAAAATCTTAAATTTTAAGAATGTTAGGCCATACTTTTGGACTTTGGGTTCTTTTGTTCAAATGATATAAATGGACATTAAAGGAGGATAAATTGTTGTATATTGGACCTCGGATGGGTCATATAAATGTCATGTACACAAGTTATGCATCGCGAGTTCCCGGTACAAGGGAGACTCCGTCCAAATTTTGGGTTTTGTGATCCCGGTTAAGAAGATGCTATTGACGTGATGTTAGATTGTGTGATGATCACGGATACTTTTGCAGGTTGATGGGTAGTCAACAGTTGATAAAGGACCCCAGTTTTTGGGGCGTCATAGGAGGAGAGTGAGCAGCATATGGAGCAGATTCATCTAGTCCCCAGGCAGCTGCACTTATGGAGCAGGCATCAAGGTTTTCATAGGTGCTGGCCCTTATCCTAGCGGATCAACATATACAGACGTGCCATGATGACTTTAGAGCACAGATTCGTAGTGAGTCGGCTGCTCAGCATTGCTCTTCCTCTATAGGCATTCTGAATTTATTAACTGTTCATTGCATGCCCAAAAGGGAAGGGGGAAGAGGAGGCTCCTACATAGGTCTGTAAGGGTAAAAGAGTCTTTAAGTTCTAATTTTCATCTTGAACGAAAAGGGGGAGAAGATTAAAGTTCATTAAACTTAACACAAATATATGCTTTAGTAGAATTCTTAGCATAAGAACACGTTTGTGGATAACACTCTACAAAGTAATCAAACTAAAGAAAATCATTTCGAAGCCTAGTTCTGCAGATGGCTAGCCAAAATCCCTCTCCATGGCAAAGGGTGAAAATCTAAGTGGTTGCAGGTCTAAGATTGTAATTGGACAGGCTCCTCCTGTCTGATAAATAAACCAGGGCTAACAGGGGCACAAATACCCTACGCTGTTGTGCCCTAAGATTCTTCCTAAGAAGCCTAGGTATTTGGTCAGGGTTGTATTTGTTTTAGTTGCGAGGCCTTCCACTTCTGTTAGTGCATTTTTTGCTGTGTTTCACTCTGAATGACATCTCATTTATTTTCTTGTTGTATCTTAATAATCATTTTCTTCAGGCAAAAAGGGCTCTTTTGTCATAATTTAAACTTTCACATCTTTCATGTATTAGATCAGGCATTAGAAAAAAGAATAAGCTGGGAAATGAAGCATTTAACGTATAAAACAGAGGAGAGAAATAATCTCTAAAACTTTTTTAAAAAAAATCTTAATGCATGATGGAAACTAGTGTGCCCAAAAACATTTAGCAGCCTTCTAACAACTTTTTAAAACCAACAAATTGTCCAAGATGTTTTTAGCATTGGAGAATGGAAGAATAAGGGAAATACTAAGCCATGACGTCCAAATTGGGGCTTGAACCAGCACCTCCTCCTAAAGGATGGTGGGAAATAACACTCAAACTAACAGCTAATGGTTGGGCATTATATCACTAATTAGCATTAAAGTGGCATTATTTCATCTCATAGAGAGGAATCTAGCACTCTAATGCAGTACAATGATATCATCCATTGGTGGACCAAGCAAAACCAGGGTCCACATTGACTGTGATGAGAGCACACAGTAGGTGTGTGCTGTTATTATGTGATATGATGATAAGTGGCTGAAGAGTATCTCATTCTATCCACTCCAATAAGGATATCAGCTCTGTGCTTTTCTGGCTCATTTACGACTTCAAATGGGAAAGCATATAAACTTGCCAGATTTAATTGATTCAATAAAAGAGCTCTCTTCAGACAAAAATGAAATACCTGTGATATGATATAATGTGCTTGTTGCTTGGCATAGTAATGCTCTGATGGATGAATTTTTCCAATAATAGATAGCAGTTCAACATCGGACAAATATCTACAAAGAAAAAGGCTAGCTCAGATAACCCGTGATATTATACACGTGATCATAGACGTTAAAGGGGGAGAAAAGAAAGTTGGTGCAGGGAAGCGGGGAGCAGAGAATAGATGAAACCAGTAAAATCAATAAAAGAAAAAGGTATCCTGTTTATTACCCATCACCATCTTTGTCAAACTGCGCAAATAACTTTCTAGCAGGGAACTCCTCTGAACCATGAGACTCGTGTGAAGAATTATGATCCTCTTCATCATAGTTTCTTACCAAATCAAAGAGCCCATGGAAAAATTCTTTAAAATTAACCTTCCCATCTTTGTCAGTATCTCTTTCCCTGAAGTGAAATGATACAGAAGAACGGATCAGTTCGCAGTAAGCACAGGAGTAAGGCATGTTACATTCCTACAAGATCAAGCACAATGGCAAATATACTACATGAGGGAAAATCAGAACCAGGTAGAAATTGATTAAGATGGACAAGAGGAAGCAATAAAGGTTGGGAATCACCAATAAACAAATTCACCTAATACAAAAAACGTTTTGAACTAAGATAAACAAGAAATCTCCTTCCATATATTCAAATCAGTTGATTCAAACTCTTCCTATCATGAGACTTAGATCCAAATCTCTCCCAACTAGACTAGAAGATGACTAACTGTTTATAATTTTCCGTCAAGTTTTATTTGCTATAACCAAAACATATATAATTAAAATTTACCAAGAACAAACATGAATATTATGGTTTCTTTGTGATGAAATCAAGAGCAACAGAGAAAGGACTAGTAATCTAAAGTATATATGAAAAATGCAATACTATTATCATCATCAGCATCATCAATAAAACATTTATCCAAGCTTTTACAGATGCTCGTCAGTTAAGGTTGGGAGGAAGAACTCCTACAGTTCCCAAATGGTACGTTGGCTGTTACCTGGTTGGTATCAAATATCTTCATTCTTCTGAAGCCTACAATCTGATTGCTCCAAGGCTCAGGGCTCCTACATTTAAGGAGCACAATAATGCTAGATGTATCATATAAACTATAGCGTATCAACAACCACACTCATCACTTTTGCCTTCCACAAAATTTTGCTCTGGACTTTTTGGCCAAATTCTTTGTAAAGCCGGAAGTTGTATCATTAGCCTCAAACTGTCAACCTCACTCCATGATCTACAGACTTCGGACCACATTTAGTGTTTTTCTACAACGTCTGAGTCAGAGATGAGTATCAACAAATTTAAAGCAAGACTGCGTTAAGAGAAGTTGTGGTGTATGCCTTTAGAAAACAAAAAACAATTCCATGGTGGTAAGTAGTGACTAGTGAGCAATATTAATAATGATTTTGAGCAATCACTGCAGTGATATGGTTTTAGAGGTTTGACAATGGAATAATCAGGCTGTGGTATAGAGTGAAAAATAGTAGCAAACCCAGTTGATTACTGCAGGATGGCCTTAAAACTCTTAATGCTATACATCTATTGCCAAGGGGAGTGGTGATTATATCGAATGCTGTAGAAACAGAAGTGGTTAAGCCATTGTAGGGGATTAAGCCATCCTAATGGAATCTCACAAAGTCGGCCTTGTCCAGGCATGCCTAAACTACTAAAAAATACGTCATAGATTAGTGGAGGACAAACGGATGCAGAATACTGTACTGAGACAAAGAGGGTAATGACCATGAAATGAGGCAGAGATTAACTATTAGAGGTGAATGCTTCTTCATTACACTCGTTACTGACCTAGAGTTGGGCTTCCAAACAGGGATTCTGCAGCCAAGCTTTGCCTACCATGTTTTGTATGAGCTAAGATGCTTCTTGACTGCATAGGGCCTACAACCCTAGATTTGGGCTTCCAAAGAAAGTGCCTTCTATGATCTATACTCTCAGTAACATCCATTCAAAATACGTAGTTTTACACTTCTCTTTAGATTTAAGCCTACTGGGGGCTGTTTTCTAGCAAATTTCATTCATTTTTTTCCTGCATGTTTTAACAGGAATTTTGACTTTCATTATTAAATAAATAGCCTCACTTATCTCTCCAGCCCCACTATGATAACCCAATAGTCGAAAGGGAAGCATGACTGCCTTCATATATATATATATGCAATCTCCTCAGTAAGCTGAAAAAACTTCCAGCCTCCAAAATTTTGGTGCATCTCTAATAGTTCCACTATGCTGCTTGTCTGGTTCTAAAACTACTCCATCTCAGTTTGTTGGGCATTTGCACATGAATATTTGTATACAACTTACCAGTATAATTCCACTGTTTTCTTAGAGCTGAAGGTGCTCTTTTAAGATGTAGTAGTCTCAAAGGAGGTTGCTGAATTTACAAAGCCCTCATAATATGTGGTCAACATTATGCAGCAAGATCTGTTGATAGAGCCGTGATGATGCACCTTCCCATCATAGACCCATGGTCTTCCAACAAGATGTAACACGCATACTCCATATCAATGCATCACATTTCAATATAAGACTCCTCTCACAGACTTTAGGATTGCTGCTCTTAACGATGCTTTTGGGTATGTGCTAAGAAGAGATTCTGCCTCATACACAGGTTTTGAGTCTCCTCTGGCACAACATCGACACCACTACAAGTCAGGAATTAGGCTAACTACTAACCAGTTGCTTGTCACACCAAACATGTCTAGAAAGTAGGATTCCCAAGCCAATCTTCATTAGCATCTATCCCTATTTGTATAAAGGGTGCAAACCTAAACAATGTGAACAAATGCCGAAACTGGCAGACAGGCAGGAAAATTAGTATCGCTTGTCAGCAGATGTTAGGTAATGAGTACCGCATCTTCCAGTGAAGGAGACAGTATATTAACTGTCCTGAAGCGACGTCCAAAGTGTGACAAACTGGGTGAAAAACTGAGGAACTTGATATGGAGATAGGTGGGGCACAGAAGAAACTAATCCTTGGCATCTTAAATGCGAGGAGGGCAAAAGGAAATACAAACCTACATTCGGTTTGAAATAGTCCCTCACCCAAATTCAAGTTCATAATCTCACAGTTGACTCCCCAAGCTTTTGCTAGTGTTGAACATATACATGGTTCATATTCCATGTAACTAACACTGAAGTATGCAACAATGTAAGCCTAGGATATTCTAGATCTTATTTGAAAAGTTTATATTCATGTATTTTATTTAATGTAGAACATATATAACAGTTAAAATCATCAGCTCTAGTGGTTGCACATAAAAAAGATATAATTTTGAACATTGATAATCTCCTCTCCAGTGAACCCAAGTTTTTTTTTTTTGTAGCCCGATTGTTGGGAAAATGAGCAAACAATTGGATGATTTGAAATGGGTATATTTTTCACTTGGAGGATGAATTGCTTATGTTAAAGCACAATTGCTTAGCATTCCTTTATACGACTCATCTCTATTTAGAATCCGTCGAATTGTTGCTAGAAGATTAATGAACATGATGAGGGATTTTCTTTGGTTAATGATGGGAGCAGTCAATTGGAACAATTTGGTGAGATGGGAGACAATTTATAAGCTAGATCACATGATTCACTTACACACCTCAACGAATTTGCATTCCGAATGCCAATCCACAAATTGGGAGCAAATTCGGCCAAAATTCGCAGATTCAAAAGTCAAATCCGCAAATTCAGTCTTTGAAATCTGTGTATTAGAAACTTTCGGAGCCATCTCCACAAATACAGAAAAATTTAAACTAATTAATGGATATTACATTAGCCCCAGAATTTTTTCCATACCCAATTGGACTTGGCCCAAACGTTGAGCTCATTTCTTTGCCAAAGCTGCTTTACCGTTGTGCCCTTATACAACTTAGTTGCCATTCAGCTTCTTAAGTCTACCGATGTGGGATAGATCTTTTATATACGCTGCCTTGCCTTTCAACGGAAGAGACTCTACAAATGTGGGAAAGGATCATGTTGTTATCTTCCCTTTTTTTTGTCACTAATAATTAATCTTATTTTCTATTTTTGGTATTTTGACATCCTCTTTTTTAGTGTGTATCACAATGATACATATATATATATATATATAAATTTGACACTCTCGCTCTCAACCATTTTTTAAATTTACGGCCTCTGTCTTGGTCTCGCTCTATTTGATCTAGCTTGTAATCCTATAGATAAGGGAGTTTGGAACTAACTAATAGTCCAAAAAATTGCAATGTCATTCATCGAGAAACGCAACATCCAAATAGTCCAAAAAAATTGCAACAACTTGATGGTAGTGGAGGCCACAGTTAGAGGCAATTCAGTGGTGATTATTGTAATTCTTGGAGATTAACCCAATCCTATAAAGTAGTTAGTTATTTAATAGTTCATTGGGTAATTAGTTTTGATATGATTCTAGTCCAAATAGGATTTTGTTCACTAGTGCTCGTCAAATCTCCTGTTTATTTTACTATGCAATTTCACTAAAATTGGATTGTAAAATATCGTGGGACCGTGAATTGACTAAAATTGTTTTTTTGTTCACTATTTTTTAGTTCATTGTTATTAGTTCACTAATTTTCACTATTTTGGATTTAATATTTTTACTTTTTTTTGAGTTCACTATTTGAAGTTTAGTGTTTATGAGTTCACTATTTTTCATTATTTTTTATTTTACTGTTTTTAGTACACTAATTTTCCTAATTTTGGTGTTCACTAATTTTTCACTATTTTTAGTTTAGTAATTTTTCATTATTGTTGAGTTCACTATTTTTTACAATTTTTAATTCACTAATTTTTCATTATTTTTAGTTTAACTAGTTTTTTACTGTTTTGGGTGGTGGGTGGTGGTGGTGGTGGTTAGGAGCGATAGTGGTGGTTGGCTAGATTTTCATTGTTTTGAGTGGTGTGTTGTTGGCTAGATTTTCACTATTTTGAGTGGTGAGTCGTTATGATTGGCGGCAATGGTTGGTGGTGACGACTATGACGGTGAGTGGTGGTGGGCTAGTTTTTCACTGTTTTGGGTGATGGATGGTGATGGTTGGTAGTGATGGTAGCGATGACTGTGGGTGGTAATGTACTAGTTTTTCACTATTTTAGGTGTTGGGTGGTGATTGTTAGCGATGATTAATGGTGGTGGTAGTGGATAGTAGGTGGTATGGTAGGTTAATTTTTTACTGTTTTGGGTGGTGATGATGGCAACAGTGGTGATGGTGGTTGACAGCGATGGTGGGTGGTGGTGGCAACAGTGGGTGGTGGTGGACTAATTTTTTTCCTATATTGGGTGGTGGAGGTGGTGGTGGTAGCAATGGCGGTAGGTGGTGGAAGGCTAGTTTTTCACTGTGTTGAGGAATGGATGATGGTTACCGGTGGTGATTGTTGGTGGCGGCAATGGGAGGTGGTGGTTGACGGCGATGGTGGGCGGAGGTGGCGATGGCGGTGGATTGTGGTGAACTAGTTTTTTACTATTTTGGGTGGTGGGTGTTGGTAGCAATGGCGATGGGGGTGGTGGTAGCGATGGCGATGGGTGGTGGTCAGCTAGTTTTTCACTGTTTTGGGTGTTGAGTGGTGGTTATTAGTGGCGATTGGTGGTGGTGGTGGTGGTGGTGGTAGGCTAATTTTTTACTGTTTTGTGTGATGACTGGTGATGGTGGCGGCGACCGTGGTTAGTGGTGATACAGATGATAAGTGTGGGTGGTGGTAATGGATTATGGTGGTGGGTGGTGGGTGGTGGGTGATGGGTCGTGGGTGGCGGCAATGTTGGGTGGTGGGTTAATTTTTATTTCTTTGGGTGGTGAATGGGTTTGAAGGCGATGGTGGTTGGTGGTGGCGACAGCGAGTGGGTGGTGGTGGTTGGTGGCGATGATAGTGATTTGTTAGTTTTTCATTATTTTGAGTGGTGGGTGGTGGTGGTTGGCAGCATTGGTGGCGATGGCGGTGGGTAGTGGTGGGCTAGTTTTTTACTCTTTTTGGTGGTGAGTGGTTATGGTTAGCGGCAATGGTTGGTGGTGGTAGGTGGCTGGTTAGTTTTTATTGTTTTTGGGTAGTGAATGGTGGTGGTTGGTGGCAATGATAGATGGGGGCAATGGCGACAAATGGTAGTGAGTTTTGAGTAGTGGTTGACGACGATGGTGAGTAGTGAGTGGTGGTGGGCTAATTTTTCACCGTTTTAGGTACTGGGAGGTGTTGGTTGGCGGCGATGATGTGGGGTGATAATTGGTGGCAATGATGGTTGGTGGTTAGCGATGGGTGGTGTTGGATTTGGGTAGGATGGCGGGTAGTGGTGTAGGTGACGAGTGGTGGCGATGGGTGATAGTGGCGATGGGAGGTGGTGGTTGTTGGCAGTGGTGGTTGTTGTTGGCGATGGCGATGAGTGGTGGCGTTGGGATGATGATGGTAATAGTAATAAACATAAAAATTATATAATGGTGGAGGTTTTTAAATAACCTCCTTCATTAAAGGTATTTTTGTTAATAATTGATTTTATAGACTTTTAGCCTTAAAAGTGTTAAACTTGGACCTAAAGCCAAAAAAATGCCTCTGCATGGACCTCTCACCAAATCTCCCATTTTTTATCCATCACATTACATGGGAAGACAGACTAGTTTCTCGAAGAATTTTGATAAGGAATAACAAGTTGAGACAAATCCTATTCCTGCAGATATATCGAACAACCCAACTAAAGGCTGCACCTTTTAGAAGTTCACGAGAACTAAGAAAAAGATTGCATCAGAATGTCATAACTATAAAAAAGTCAAAGGTTCTCGATATGAGTGGTTTACAGCGTTGTGATTGCATGAGAAGTTCCACAAGAATCTTTTTATTTCAAAGGACAACTTCATATTGCAAAATAAATTTAGGTTAACAGCATTCCTTAAGAATCCCCACGAGGAAAAATATGGCCAAAGGGTAAGTCCTCACAAAACAAAGGAAAATTGACATACAATTAGCCAATCTATAGTACTGTTAGATGGGTGGATACATGCATAAGAAGAAACCAGAATGCTCTTTATTAAAGGAAAAGAATTTGACAGAAACCGTCGTACCGTATTTCTTCCTTGCACAACCACTGAAGCAGCTTTGGGTTATTACTGTCAGCTGGGTGCAAAAAGCTAGAAGATCACAAAGAGAATAGTCAATTATGGGAAAACCCAAAACTACAAGTCAAAGAAAACAAAAACAAAACAGAGGTCGCTTATTCATTTATTGTTTGCAAATGAAACTTTGTGATCAGGTAGATGCTTACTCATTGAACTCTGTTATATTCAGAAGACCATCTTGGTCTGCATCTGATGCATTGAAGTGCTCTTCTTTCCACCAACCCATATCATACCCAAAAGAATTATTATCTGGTGGAGAAAATAACCAAGATCAAATACTGAGAAAACAAGGCAGCCATTTCAGAGCAAATGTACAGATAAATGCATCAATATAGTTTGCATAAAATGTCCGCAGCATGTGTCAAGTTTTTTGTAACCCAAATTTTGTAAGTTACTATACAATTTCAGTAAAAATCTGATGGTGTATGTTGTTTGCTGATGACATACAACTTAGGTGGGGCAGACACAAAATAGAATGGTTTTTCAACAAGTTTCATTTGAATGCAGTATAAGTAGAACCTGGGAAATATGTAGAAAACAGAAAATTGGCAAACTAAGACAATTGAAACATCATAAATTACAAGCACTGAAGCAGAGCAAAAACCCAAGAATGAGACTTATCATTATCTTAATTGGATCTTAAATAAGATGGAGGGGGCAAAAAATTGAAGTTAATTAAGTACTTATCAGGCTATTTAATGACACGAATCGAGTAGCTAAATATCCACAGATAAAATGAAATTAGCTAAAACAACAATGGCAATGGTACTGATGCTTTTGGAATTTCAAAATTTTTAGAAATTTCAATGTTGGGAAATTGATGGGTTCACGTCTCTTCTTCTGTCCAGAACGTGTGTATCTCCTTTTTAGACCAAATGAAAGAAGTTGAAATTTGGATAATGGTTGTTCTTCTTCCATAAGGTCATACTTTTGCTTCCTCTAAAAAATTGAAGATTCTGCTTCTTTTTATTACACTAAGGTAATTCGTAAGATGAAGGCTCCACCAAAAGTTAAGGCTCCACATGGTCAATGGTTCAGAATGTCAATACCAACATGGTGCTCCAAATTAGGAGGCCCCAGTGAAGCCCTTGTCCCAGATAAATGGTTTTTTTGTTGAAGGAGAAAGAAAAACCGTGCCACATACCTTATCTATACAGCGAAGACCTTTTGCTATAGCGGGAATCTGTTGGTTTGCCCCACGAGAGATTCCTTCGCTGTTGTCACGTCCTATAGAAGATTTGGTAAAGTCAAAAAAACTAAAATTGTCAGGCATTGTGCTTTTATGGCTATGATTCGGGTCATTCAGATTGTCATGATTGATGAGAGATTAAAGTTATTCAAGAAGTAGTGGGATCCAAATGCTTGTTTTAGCTATGATTCTCACCTCCACTGGTTTTGTGAAATTGTGTATTGGATGCTACAATATTATTTGATTTGTTCATTTGTTTGAAATTGGTCCATCGACTTTTCGGGTTGTGTTAATTTGCTCAGTTTCCAATTCTATCCTTCGATTCTACTGTTGGTTCGCTATATTCATTACTTTAGCATATAAAAATATTATTTTGTTATTATTGGTCTTCTATGAAGCAGGAATACTCTCAAGAAGGTAACGTATCCGTATCGGACACAGACACTCTTCGGACACGTGTCCGATACTCTTTTATCCGTGTCTATAATTAAATAATAAATTTTTAATTTCGGACACTTCTTTATTGACGTGTCCAACACTTCTTTAGAACATGTCTACTACTAAACAACAGACATGCGTCAAAATGTGATTAACAAAGTTTAAAAGTTTGAGAACATATAATTACTAACACTAGACATATTAAAGTTGTACTCCAAATATAATAATAAAAACAAAAGATGTATAAAAGTTTCAAAAAAAAAAAATTAAGAAAATGAGAATAATTATTTAAATTATATATTAGGTACACATTGTCTATAAAAAAAAATTAATGATTATTGACGATAATGAGGATGCTTTAGTCTAAAAATTCAAGCAAATGACTAGACATTAGGTTTACTTATCATAAAATATTGATTTTTTTATGAATTGTATATCATTATCACTATATTTGCAATAAATTATATAATGTTATATATAAAATATAATTTTTTTTGTAGCGTGTCTGTGTCCTACTTTCTTAAAAAATGTTGTATCGGCGTGTCCGTGTCGTGTCGTGTCGTGTTCGTGTCCGTGCTTCTTAGCTGGTCTTGGCTTTAGTAAAAGCTAAATAAGTTAGTGCAAATGAATTGTATCCCACTTACACAAAGCAAAGATTAAAACTATTCTTGATCGCTCTTAGGGATAACTTTGAGGGAACCCAGGATACTATTCTTCACCGAAATCCACTTCCTCTACTTCAACCTTTTGTGAATGAGTTAATTGGCTGTCGAAATTCGTCTTAAAGTTGCTTTGGCAAAGGGTGGCTTCCTTGTCCAATCGAGACAATTTGGTAGTATCTCCAAAGCCATAGACTAGCACACAGAACGCACAACGTACTAGAGCGATTACTGATAGTGTAGTTTTTGTCATCAGATAGGTCACTTGAAAGCTCAATCACCAAAACTATTAAGTAGACTAACTGCAAGCTAGCAACAGCCTTGGAAGAAGACTGGGGATAGGCACATTACACCAGTTGTACCAGCACTTGCACCATCGGGGAATCATCAATCTTAACCAGTCCCCTCTTTTGACGTTAACGGTTGAGCTGTTGTTGCAAAAACTTTTCTTTACATATCTGCCTAATGCACTTTCTGTTTCTTACTCTAAAGGTTTGTCCTAATCAACTCCTTTAGTATATCTCACTCCATTTGGGTATTTCATTTAGGTGCTATAGACTATATGCCTAATGATTCATCCTTGTTTTTGAATACTTTCTCTTCCCCTCCCTCTACTACTGCAATCGCTGCCAACGACACTTTTATGTCTTTGAAAAGTGTTTGGATCTATTATTTCTCAAGCTTTATTTTGGATCTATTATGTCTTCAGCATTATCTCTTTTTGGTGTTTACTACGTTCCTCACTCTCCTTGAACTAGGTTTCTGTTAGTTAACTTTCTGATAATAGTTACATTGTTCAATTCTTTTCTGTTGGTTACACTACCCATGACCCACATTCCAATAAACTGATTGGGATAGACATAAAGTAGGAGAACTAATGTGATGGAGTCTGGACACACTATATGTTCCAATTATGGCTGTTGATTTCTTCTTTTTTAGTTCCAAGTCAAGTGTTTTACTTGTGACACTCTCGTCTTGAACACATTTCTAGTTCCCGTTGCTCATCTCTACATTATTCCAATTTTCTTTTGAAGAGAGACTATTCTCAATTTTGTTCATCTTATTAATTGAACTCCCTCCATTATTTCTTCTTCTATTTCTCTTGTAGAAAGATTGTTTGGGATATGCCTTCTTGTTGCAAGCATTTGGTTGTACATATTTTGTTCTTCCTCCTAAATCTGAACGGACTATGCTATCTGCTCAATCAATTGGAACATATAGTGTGTTCTGCTCAACCAATTATGTGTGTTTTTCTTGGTTATGGCAATGGACAAAAGGCATTGCTATAAATTTTAACAGACCAATATTAGGAAGTTTTGAATGAAGTAAGCTTAAAAGCATGGTAAGTGGCAAAGTGGTAAAAAAAATAAAATGGTCGCTAATTGCATGTCATCCATAGAATGACCAAAATGAAATAGAACTAAATTGATTTGACTGAAACTTTTCAGTACTCCTATTTAACGCCTTAACAATTCCTTCAAAAAAAGATTTATGCTAATCCATAATGGTATATTCGTAAAAATTAAAGAAAAACAATTCTTTACTATATCCTACATTCCCACAATTTATTCAACTTGAAAGGGTAAAATTCTATTATGAGCAGAGTTCCGAAGTCCTAACCTAATTACCAAGTCATGCAACTTTGTTGGGAATGAACGCCGCTTTCAAAATTAGCAATATTCTTGAATTCCAAAGATATATCTGTTATAAACCCTAAATGCTATAGACAGTTCAATATGTTACAAAACTATAACAACCAAATCAAAGCGTTTGTCGACCAGTATGCTAAAAGCGCATAATCGAAATCCTACACTCAACAAATAAAAATCAAACGGATGATACTAAAACAGGGTAAAATTAACGACCAGAAGAGTTAAATTCACCTGAATTCAGAACCCAACTGGGCGGCTCATACTCCGCGAAAGAAACAAACCCATCATGATTTTTATCATGAACCTCAAACTCCCTTTCAGTCTTATGCATTACCTCTTTCGCACTCTGCTTCAAATTCCACTCGGTGAATTCATGCTCACTCAAATACCCATCAGCGGGGTCAACGTCGATCTTCGGAAACAACAGTACCAACCTATCCGTCACATTGAACTTCTCTTCATCATTCAAGTAATCTTCAGCATCCATAAACTCCTCCCACTCGGGCTGAGACTCCGCCGCCGGAGCATCTTGAGCAAATTCTTTGTGGGTGCTTTCGAAGTACATCTTTTCCCATTCCCTGTCCTCTCGTTTTCTCTCAATGTCAGCGACTAAGGGGTCGAAAGTGATGGTTTCGTGACGGTGGTGAGGAGTGCCGGTGATGGTGATGGGAGGAGAAAAGGTGAAGTTGGAGCGGAGTTTGAGACGGCGATGGCGCTGGTGGAAAGAGGTTTTGTGTTTGGGGGAGTGTGAGATTAGTAGCAGGAGGAGTATAGCTATTGTGATGTAGATGATTATTGAAGCTCTAACCATCTCATCTACACACAATCACACAAACTCCGAGAGAGAGAGAGTTTAGGAGATCTGTTGAATCGTCTGTTTATTTTCAGAGACGGACATAGAGACGCAGTTGACGATTTGGACCGCGATTAGGACTCTGATTATAACGGTGACACAAAAGATGCTCACGTGTTACAAGCAACCAATTAAATTTCACCAACCGCGTAAGTTAAATCCTTGTCATCTTAGACGTGGCATCGCTATTGCTATTCTTACCAAGTTTTAAACCCATCAACTAATAGTATGTCATGAATGTAGGTCGACTAGAGAATCCACAAACCGAGAATGAATCCACAAACTGAATATATTTATTCCACACACCACAGACACAAACTATTTAATTAATCTCCATGAGGAAAGACGTATACCGACGTATTAATATTAACGAATTATTTTTCATGAATAGTATATTAGTCATCTAACCTCGAACCTATATGAACAAAAAGTGGTTCAACAACTTGCCAGGAACCAACCCACCATGAGTGTTAAGAAACTATCAAATCCCTAAAGGTGGAAAAACCTTTGACTATCTACAATATGAATTCGAGCGTAATCCAGGTTCGCCACACTCACCTATGCAAAAGATAATTTCATAATTTTCATTAAATCCACATATTCCAAAATTTATAATTTCACAATTCTCAAAATAGACAAGTAATTCAAGTGTAACGTGCCCGAGATCATAAAAAGACATATTCAAGCTAACAATAATCAAGGTCTATGATTTGTCATCAAGAATATGTGATTTTGGATATAAATCATGTAATTTCTTAAAATAATCAATCATTTAGTTGAAAAGATTATGAAATCATTGTAAATCTATTATATATATAAGAATAGGAAGCAAAAATATACATATAATAACTCTAATCCTCAATGAATAGATTTGGGAAAGAAACCCTACATTGATTCACGAATTGATAACCCTAACACATTTTGATGCAATTCTTACATGTTAATCTATGAAGATCTCGCTTGTTTTTCATTCTCCTAACTCTCCTTGGCCTCCTAGGGTTGAAAAGAGCTTAAACTAACCTAAAACAAGTCCATAGGGTTTATATAGGGTGAACAACAATTCAAGCAGCGCGACCTGATCGTGCAAAATAGCACGCGCATTCGAACGATGCCTAAGAGGTTCTAACATAGTCCTTGGCGTTTGAACGAGCTTTGCACCCATTATCTCCTATTTTTCTGCTAAAAAATTCATCAGACATGGCATTTGAATGGATTCATTCACGTTCAAAAGGGCTCCACTTTATTCCTGAACCTTCTAAGGCAGTTTTCACCTAGTTAGAATTTTTTATGAAATACACTTAGTAACCCTTGAAGTTTAATTTCTAATGCCAGAAGAATCAACTCAATTGAATTTTGGAGTAAAAAAGTTATGATCAAAATACAAAGGTAGTGTCAAATTCCTTTCAATCCAAATTCTCTCCAAAAATGCGTTTTAACTTTAGAATATTTACAAACTTTTAATACATCCCATATCATATATCCCAATTTTTTTTTACCTTAAGGATTCAATTGTGACCTTATTTTGACCTAACAACCTTTAGAAATTTACATAGCCACCATTGACAAGTTTAACCACATCCGGAATAAAATTTGATCTGAAAGTCAGTACACACGAAACTCAAATTTTGAGATCAATCTTTCAACAATGCTTTGAAGTTTCTAATATCATTTTATTTATCTTAGGAGAAATCTTAAGATAATATTATTTTTATTTAATTATAGTACGAGGTCTTACAATCCACCCCCTAAAAGAAAATTTTGTCCTTAAAATTTAGTTGTCCCCTACCTTCCTAACTCCAATTGGCCACAATGTCTCAACTCTTATTCATTATTTAAGCATCAAATTCAAGGTCAAAATATATTTCTCACACATTCAATCTTTTTAAATCAATCCCTCCAACTTGTACCATCACTTGGCAAGCTTGACATACGTGGTGCTCAAATTTTGATTGATGCAGGGTTTCTCAATTTCGTAATGGATGAGATTTTTCAAACTCTTTCTAAACTATTCAATTATGTTATTTACATTGTTTAAAACGTTATTTGAATTATAATAGGGTGATTTACACTATTTTGGAACTTCAGGCCTGGTTAGAGTTTTGATGTGTGCTTTGCTCGATAGTTCGTATTGATTGTATGAAACTAAAACTTTGGGATCCTTTTGAATGAAATGTAAGTGCACACAAGATCGAGTACAGAGAGTTTACATTCCAGGTTGAGGCTGTAGAGGATTTCATTGAGTTTGTAAATACCTGGTTAGCTTGATTGGTCTTCAAACCTAGGTACTGAACTGGATCATATTGAATTAGGGAGCATATCTTCTTTGGGGTGGAAGTCCCCTAAAAGATTAGATTGTATGGTTCGTATCAACCTTGAGTGGTCTATAGGATGATGTTCTCTGGTGTGGCACTGTATCTGAATTTCTAGACTTTCTTTTTTTGATTATTATTTTACATAATTATTATTTTTCTACATGAAGTAACATTTTTTAGCTATGTATATATCAAATGACTGTTTCTTTGATGTGCAATCATGTTAAATTATTATTTTCAAACTCATGAGTTTTGGAATTGAGTTATCCTACTGAGTTGGTTGACACTAACCCTACAATTTCTCTCTCTTTTTGAGATCTGTAAAGACTGGAGGAACTTTCTTGTTACATAGTTTTCTACAACATTCATCATACTAAGCTAGAATCACTTCTTAAACATAACCCTAACTTTTCAAATCATTCCATTAGTATCTAAATGTAACGCCCCAAAAACCCCCTTGGGTGACATTACATTCTAAAAACCATTCACCTCATGAGAGCATTACGTAAATTCATCACGACGAAAGTTCATTCATCAACCATTCATATTTCAACAAAATTTGGGCAGAGTGTCCTTTGTACGGGGAGCTTTACCCAAAACACAACCTGTACAATTATATTACAATTGACCACACCGGGTCCACATATGCATAACTATTGACCACACCGGGTCTATTTATCCATCATAAAATAAACTTTCATTCATCATATGTCATATCCACACTATCATCCCAAAAGAATAGGTCCAATCTTGGCCTTTACATCTCCACAATGTAATAATATAACGCAGCGAAAATAACAAAAAAAAAAGAACTAGACTTCAAAAGGATATTCTAAGTATAATCTAGTCTAGAACAAAATAAAAGTGTCGCTCTAAGCGTCCACCTCGGGATCCACATTCCCTTCAAGCGGAGTCTGCCAATGGGCGGGCTCCTCGGCTCCTAACTCCTCCTCAAGTGTGAAATCTGAAAATGTTATTTGTAGGGGGTGAGCACGAAGCTCTGTAGCAAAATCCTCTCAACTCATACAAGATTTATAAAAATATATAAAAGGGTCGGTCTCATTTTTCAACATAGCATAGATACATAATTTGAAATGAAACGGGTGCATTTTTCAACGAATCTCAAGTTTAAGTAACAATAGTAATAGAAAGGAGCAATTTCAACCAAGTGCTAATAAACATCCATTGCCAAAATATAAATCATTTCCCACACATGATATCATATTGTCCTCTCTAACGGGAGCATCCTTACAAGGAACCTCTCACCCTCAAGATTTTGTTTCTCAAGCATCCTTACAAGGAACCTCTTGAGAAAATCACATACTGTCCTCTTTTGGTGTGAGCATCCTTACAAGGAACCTCTCGCCCTCAAGATTTGGTTTCTCAAGCATCCTTACAAGGAACCTCTTGAGATGGAATGAGCATCCTTACAAGGAACCTCTCATCCATGTTCATTCCAACAACCATACAAGATCACATCATCCCAACAATCGTCACACATAACCAAGGATTCCATAAATCTCCAATTTACAAGCAAATTTCCAAAGATCCACAAATCCATTATGAGGCAATTTCAATAAACAATTAGGAAAATACAAAAGATCACCACAACATCATTTATTACTCAACACAAACCACTAAAGTTTTCAAAGCCAAGATTGAGTGACTATAGAGAGAAAAATCCATATTTCTCAAAAGTTAGGGTTGAGAGCAAAAACAAGAGAAAGTAGTTACCCAACCATAACATTGTTTAGAACATGATAATATTTGCATAGACATCAAGAATCAAAGGTTTCCTAACATACATCTAAGATTTAGATCAAAAAAAAAAAAACCTATATGTATACATAGCTCTAGTCTCAATGTAAGAGAAAGAGAAGAAATCCCCTACCTTGAATCAAAGTTTCAAACCAAAAACCCAAGCTCTAATGACCTCCTTTCTCCCTTTCCTCATTTCCTCTATCTTCCCCAAGGGTGCTAAGGGGTTTGGGGGTGAGAGATGTGAGAAAAAATGGAAGAAATTGGCTAGATTCTGTGTTTTAAACACAGCAGTCCGCGACAAATCACTGTTCATGGCTGAATTTTGAGTTTTTTTTCCAAAATTATAGTTTTGCCACTAGAAATCTCCAATTTGATCCATACGACTACCCTAAGGTTTTTCGACGTTCCGGATTCATTTTTAATGTTATTTTAACCTAAAAACATTGCTTTTTATGATTTATTTCAAAACTAAAATAAATTCACACTTGGAACATTAAAATTTCTATTTTATTCCTTCGAACTACTATAGGTGATATCCTTACGATTTTAATATATATATGGTTTATTCTTAAGTCATTACATATAGAAGAATCACTAAACAAGTACATTAATATATTAATGTAAATATATGGTGTTTTACACCTTCAAGGTCTAATAAGAAAGCACAACCCTTTACTATCCAAGGAGCACCATAGTGCAGATTTTTGGTCAACTTCATAGAATAAACTGATTTGACTCAGGTATTTCTAGGAGGTGTAACCTATATGGTTGAAAAGATATACGAGTTAGGGTTCTAACAAAAATAACGGTGCACAATTCGGACTTTCCAATAAAGAGTTATGATGAAATTAGCGAAAGGTAGTCTGCCGGACAGATTTTTGGACAGTGTAGACACTACTTCGTAATATGGACATAACTCCTTCCTCCTAGTTCCGATTGAGATGATTCAAGGTGATATCCTAAGAGAGAGCTCTACAAATTTCATGTTTTAAGTTTTGAGAGATATGGACTGCATCAAGGTCGAAATCGAGCTTGATGTTACAGCCAGTGCACTGTTCATCCCTTTTTCATTCTACCAAATTCAAACACACATCACTACACATATCCCCATTTTTACAACAATTATTTACTATATATCTATATA